GTTTAATTGTTCAATTCTTCTTTTTCTTGTTCTTCCTGGAAGTCTATAGTTTACTAGAGAACCTCTGATATATAGTCACCATAGTGTAGATGCAGTGTTTTCTCTCCTATCCAAGCTCTAAGCTTTGAGAAACCACCCTACGTTTGCCTTAAAAATCTTCTTTTATAGTTTATCAGTATTCTATCGTGACCCCCTTGCATGTGCCTTTTCCAGTGGTCCTATAAGATTTTTTGGGGATATCATCATACTGCACTATTTTAATTTTTATACATTCATATTTCTTATCCATTCCAATTACAGAATATGCCATTGAAGTCACCATGTTGAATGCTTAAACTGATACTATAGCCATAGCTTAATGCAGCGATTCCTGGGCATATAGCCCCTGCAGGCTGAGCTTAATTTTCTGAGAAAATGCAGTGTTTACATTGCTGCCTATTAGTTTGACAGACACTAATAGGATTTCCTGGATTCAGTACTGCAAAGGTTGCAGGACCAATGTTCATCGTCCCCTCACTCTGTATGGACACATAGAGATGCATTAAATCAATACATCTGTATAAGGAAATGCTGACTGGCGCAGGGTGGCAATTTGCTGTGCATGTGCTTTAGCCTCCCCTGCTTTCTTATAGGGAAGCATTGGATTGGCTGAGATCATCAGGACTGGGGTGGAAGGATGGCATCAATCAGTGCCCATGGAATATAAAATGTGTTAATTTGCTTTTTTAACTGTAACTAGAGGGACCCAATAATCTAAATAGTGAGCAGAACATTACAGAGTTAAGAGTATATGTGTGACTCATTGAAAATATATATATACAGTATGCTTTGTACATCTGGAATGCTCAATTAACAAAGATTGATCATTGCTGCCCTGCAGGGTGCATCTTGAATAGATCTATATAAAAAGTATGTTATTTTTACTTAACACGCTTTACCTTATAAAAAGACTCAAATTCCTTTACAGAACCACAGGTTACAATAAATGCAGAAGTATCTTTATTAATTTACTTCTTCCCACTGGGATTTACATTAGAAAGGCAAATTAGGTAAAGATATAAGCCAGACACCTAACAAAGGCAGCAGGTGTGATAGAAAGGTGTATCACCTGAGCTTAGAGTGGCCGGTCTTAATACTTACATAACTAATAGGGACTATCGGGGGGGCAAAAGCAAAATCAATCAAACACAAACTCCGAATGACCAGAGTTTCTGCAAAATGTATATGTCATTCTAGAAAGTGGTCTGGGTGGCCCAGCTGATGAAGGTACATCACTACCGGTATGTGATCTTACATTAACAGATTGACACAATAATGACTTATAGGACCACTATAGTGCGAGGAAAACATACTCGTTTTCCTGGCACTATAGTGCCATGAGGGTGCCCCCACCCTCAGGGACCCCCTCCCGCAGGGCTCTGGAGAGAGGAAAGGGGTTAAACTTACCTTTTCTCCAGCGCCGGGCGGGGAGCTCTCCTCCTCCTCTCCTCCTCTTCGGCTGAATGCGCATGCGCGGCAGGAGCTGCGCGCGCATTCAGCTGGTCTCATAGGAAAGCATTCACAATGCATTCCTATGGACGCTTGCGTCTTCTTACTGTGATTTTCACAGTTAAAAGCACGCAAGTGCCTCTAGCGGCTGTCAATGATACAGCCACTAGAGGCTTTGGAGGCTGGATTAACCCTATTATAAACATAGCAGTTTCTCTGAAACTGCTATGTTTATATATAAAAAAAAGGTTTAATCCTAGAGAGACCTGGCACCCAGACCACTTCATTAAGCTGAAGTGGTCTGGGTGCCTAGAGTGGTCCTTTAATGGTCTTAAAGGCACACTCCACACACATAAGGCACTTTAGCTTGCTGAAGTGTTTTATGTGTGAAGAGTGTGTCCTCTTTTTTTTTTTCATTTTATAAAAAGTGCAGATTTCAATAGAAATTGGCACATTTATAAATTAACCTTGTTACACCCCCTAGCTGTCAGTCAGACAACAGGTCCTGTTACTTCCTGGTTTGGTTAGCTCAGTGGAACTAAACTCAAGAGGCAGCAATTGCCCAGAGCACCTGTCTTGCAAAAACATCTCATTGAGCTACATTGGGAAGTCTGTGATTGGACAGCCACAGAAAGTCTGGGCGGGTTTAGAAGGGGAGGGCTTTCAAAGGGTTTAGACACAGGGTCTGCAGCTTTTGTAAGCTGTTTTAAGATATATCCCCATTGAAAATAATGCATAATTAAAGGCATGCAAGTTTTCACCGGGGTATATCTACTAAACTGTGATTTTTAGTTTGTATGTATTTGGGCAGTGTAATGTCCCTCATGGCATCATTAGGTAGCTTGTAAAAAGCTATACTATTTAAAAGGAGAGTTGGAGTACAGTAGTATCACGTTGTGTAGGTTTAGCAGGACTTGGGGTTAGGACAAGGGAGACACAGGACTAAAGAGGCTCCTGCCTTTAAGGTTATGTTGTCTGTAACTTCACCAAACAGGAGCTCTGACCTGCTATCAAGGCCATCAAAACATATTACATTACAGGGTAAGAGATATCTATTTCACTATGATTTTTTTTTGTTTTTTTTATTGCCTTTTTTCATTACCATATGTCTGCCTATTTAGTGAATCCCACCTAGTACAAGTGGTTTGTGAATTATAAAAACTAAAAGCCATTGCAACAACCTTGAACTTGAATTTAAGGTATGTAAGGTATTGGCCTTTCATTGCTTATTTAAAGGAATACTATAGTGTCAGGAACACAAACATGTATTCCTGGCCCTATAGGGTTAAAACCACCATCTAGCCCCCCTGGTCCCCTCATGCCTCCCTAAAAATAGTAAAATCTTACTTGTATTCAAGCCTGAAGCTGTAACTCTGCATGCTGTTTGCCTCAGAAAAACAAGCTGTCTGCTGACATCATCAGAAGTGGTGGCCTGATCCAATCACAATGCTTTCCCATAGGATTGGCTGAGACTGACAAAAAGGCAGGTCAGGGGCAGAGCCAGCACAATTCAAACACAGCCCTGGCCAATCAGCATCTCCTCATAGAGATGAATTGAATCAATGAATCTCTATGAGAAAAGTTCAGTGTCTGCATGCAGAGGGAGGAGATACTGAATGTTTGGATGCATTTTAGGCAGCCATGATCCAGGAAGGATCTCTAACAGCCATCTGAGGAGTGGCCAGTGAAGGTATCACTAGGTTGTAATGTAAACACTGCATTTTCTCTGAAAAGACTGTGTTTACAGCAAAAAGCCTGAAGGTAATGATTCTACTCACCAGAACAAATTCAATAAGCTGTAGTTGTTCTGGTGACTATAGTGTCCCTTTAAAAAAACAAACAAAAAAAAAGTCTAACATTCACACTCACCAGTCTGTAAGGTCCATGATAAATGAAGATATTATGTATAGACTTGACCGGCTTTATGGCAGACAAAGAAACAGATTAGTAGCAAATGTGCAGGTATATATTATTTGTGGAGGTAGCTGTTACACCATACATATTTTAGCTCAGGGTAAAACTGATGTGCGTCTACCTGTGTCATCAACAGGCATCAAAAAACACAGTATGTGAGCAGGTTTTGTGTCAATAAATGATGCACAGGTCGAGCATCCGCTGTCACAACATCTGTCACATTGAAAACATGAAGTCTATCATACAGCATTCCCAACAGAAGGGCCCCTATATAACACTAGTTCAGTGTTTTCGTTTAACCCCTTAAGGACACGTGACATGTGTGACATGTCATGATTCCCTTTTATTCCAGAAGTTTGGTCCTTAAGGGGTTAAACACACTAAGACATTAATTTGTTAAAAAGCAAAATGTATCATATCACATGCTCATGGGGTTCATGGATTAATTAGGGCTTTAATATCTTCATAGATTGTAAATCATTAATTGTTTTGGCCACATGCTGGCTATATATTGTTGTATTCTTGTTTGGATTTTAATGAATTAATAGAGACTTGAATGCAGTTGGGGGCACTAAACTGACTAAACATATTTCATAGTGTCAGAGTTTGCTAAGAAAATTAGAATCAGACAGAAATTGCATTTTAATTGCAGATGAGGGAAACGTTTGCACCTTTAGTTAAAGCAAAGAAAATTGAAATTCATCAA